TAAAATCTGTATTGTTAAATCTCAGGATGGGAGATTATCTAGAGTAGAAGGGAAGGATTTGTGAGGGAAGTAAGGAAAGATGATAGACATCTGTGTGTATTATAGAAATTAATAACTAAGTTGTTAAATATGAATAAATCTGAATTAACTCTTATTTAAGAACTTTTTCCCCAATAGTGATATTAAAATATCTGTCATTTAAAATACATATATATGTAAATAAAATTAGGAATATAAAGGTAGAAAGGAGGAAAACAGCTTATGTTCACAGTGTGACTCTACACTGACCAGGGAGAGAGAGAGAGAGAGAGAGAGAGAGAAGGAGAGAGAAGAGGGAAGAAAAAGTACAGGAAAACAGCCAAGGGAGCTGTGGGGTGGGGGAGAAGGCGGAGGCCCCAGGTAAGAGCGACCTAGCTTCTGGAAGCCGCCCTTGGGGCTCTGATGGCCAGCCGCGTCCTGGGAAAGGCTTTAGCCGCAGTGTCTCTCTCTGTGGCCTTGGCCTCTGTGACTGTCAGGTCCTCGGGCTGCCACGGCATCCTGGAGTTCAGAAACTCATTTTCATCTTGTTGGTTTCATCTTAATACCAACATCATGTCTGGTTCTAATGGTTCCAAAGAGAATTCCCACAACAAGGCTCGGACGTCTCCTTACCCAGGTTCAAAAGTTGAACGAAGCCAGGTTCCTAATGAGAAAGTGGGCTGGGTTGTTGAGTGGCAAGACTATAACCCGGTGGATACACTGCAGTCTCTGTCTTGGCTGGACCTAGGTGGGCAGATCCTCAAATCAGTGAAAGTAATTTTTCTCCCAAGTTTAACGAAAAGGATGGACATGTTGAGAGAAAGAGCCAGAATGGCCTGTATGAGATTGAAAATGGAAGACCGAGAAATCCTGCGGGACGGACTGGACTGGTTGGCCGGGGGCTTTTGGGGCGATGGAGCCCAAATCATGCTGCAGATCCCATTATAACCAGATGGAAAAGAGATAGCAGTGGAAATAAAATCATACATCCTGTTTCTGGTAAACACATCTTACAGTTTGTTGCAATAAAAAGGAAAGACTGTGGAGAATGGGCAATCCCAGGGGGCATGGTAGATCCAGGAGAGAAGATTAGTGCTACACTGAAAAGAGAATTTGGTGAGGAAGCTCTCAACTCCTTACAGGAAACCAGTGCTGAAAAGAGGGAAATAGAGGAAAAATTACACAAACTCTTCAGCCAAGACAATCTAGTGATACATAAGGGATATGTTGATGATCCTCGAAACACCGATAATGCATGGATGGAGACAGAAGCTGTGAACTACCATGGTGAAACAGGTGAGATAATGGATAATCTAACCCTGGAAGCTGGAGATGATGCTGGAAAAGTGAGATGGGTGGACATCAATGATAAACTGAAGCTTTATGCCAGTCACTCTCAATTCATCAAGCTTGTGGCTGAGAAACGAGATGCACACTGGAGTGAGGATTCGGAACCTGACTGCCATGGGTTATAGCTGATGGTTTCCATGTAAGCCAAAGGCCCACAGAGGAGCATGTACTGAAAAGAGGCCAATATCACAGAATTTATACCAAAAAAAGGGCAGGGTAGGCCACTTGGCCTATTTACTTTCAAAATGATTTACATTTAGAGTGTTTCACATCAGAATGAAGTGAGTGAGATGAACTGGAACACAGAATTTTCAGCTTTTTGGTTAAAAGGAATATAAGTAGTCATATTTTGTATGTATTCTGTTTAAGCATGGCTTAAATGAAATTTAAACAGCTAATGCTCTTTGAAGAATCATAACCAGAATAAAGATAAATTCTTGATCAGCTGTAACTTCTGTTTTCCATCTAGTTCTTGTTTGTCAGTGCCTTCCCTCCTGCTCCCCATCTTCTAAGGCCTGAAGGATGTTCCTGCCACATCAAGCTCCTTTAGGAGGAGTATCACCATTGGGTATATAGTTTAATGTTTCATCTGATTTTTCTTTAAATTATTTGCTTCACATTTTGCTTCGCATGATCTTTTTGAAGCTAATTTTGAAAATGGAAAGTATGTTTTTTTGACTTTGGAATCCGTTTTAAGAGGAAATTTCAGTCACTTTTAGTCAATAGAGATCAAGATCAGTGAACAAGAGCTGATATTCTCGTTTTCAGAAATTCTGAATTAAAAAAATCCAGGAAGTTAGTAATTTAAGTCAATATGTTCATTTCACTCTAGTGAAATTACTATATGCTGTAAGCCAGTTAAAAATGGATGTTCAGAAAAGAATTGAAATCAGACAGGAGAAAAAAATTACAGATGCTGGTGAAGATGTAGAGAAACAAGAATTCTTATACACTGTTAGTGGGAATGTAAATTGATCCAACCATCGTGGAAGACACTGTAGCGATTCCTCAAAGACTTCAAGACATTTGACCCAGCAATTCCATTACTGGGTATACATCCAAAGGAATATAAATTGTTCTTTTATAAAGACACATTCATGCATTATGTTCATTGCTGCACTATTCACAATGGTAAGGACATGAAATCAACCTAAATGCTCATCAGTGATAGACTGGATAAAGAAAATGTGGTATATATATCATGGAATACTATGCAGCCATAAAAAAGAATGATATCGTGTCCTCTGAAGAGATGTGGATGAAGCTGGAGGCCACTATCCTTAGCAAACTAATGCAGGAACAGAAGACCAGACACTGCATGTTCTCTTATAAGTGGGAGTTAAATAGAACACATAGTCACAGGGGAACAATACACACTGGGGCCTACTGGCGGGTGGGAGGAGGGAGAGGATCAGGAAAAATAACTAATGCAACAAACCCTCATGACACGTTTACCTATGTAACAAACTTGCACCTGTATTCCTATACTAAAAACAACAATAAAACAAACATAAAAGAAAATGTTAGCCACGCGTGAATTTTAAACTTCTTGGTAGTTGCATTAAAAATAGTAAAAAAACAAAAAACAAAAAACAAAACAAAACAAAAAAAAAACAGCCAAAAGGAATTCTGCCCAAATTTCCTTGGATAAAGATAATCTAACACCTCAAAGGGAAAATGTAAGATGGAGAAAAGGCAAAACCACCAAAACATACTTAGAATTGAATTTACTCAATGTGGAGATCTGAAAATAAATTCCTATTTTTAAAAAGGGATGTAATGTATCTTGAATAATTACTTTACAACTATTAGGTCTGAACCCTTTACTATGTCTAACAAAGTACATGAACAGTCTTTTTAGAACAAGGCTGAATATACTTTGAGTTTATAATGGCATAAAAGTACTAAGCTCATATTTCTCCAAGGTATACATCTAATTCATCTACAGGCTTACTTTTGAACAGGTACTCTTTGTGATTAGTTAACTCAGTACAGCTGTTATTGAACTACAAATGACTTATTCAGAGGAAAATGATTATGAGCCATCTCTAAATTCTGTGCTACTTGAACTCTTATTTTATGCTCACTTTTCAGTTTCAATCAAACACTATAAATTTCTATTCTCTTTAGAGAAAAAGAATGTATCCCAGTAATGTAATTTTAATATCAACACACCTGAACGAATTCTAAAACAAAATACCAAAGGGGAAGTTTCCACACTATTACTGAGCCATATGCAATTACACAATTACTTCGTATCATGCTTTTTTAGCTTAAAATTTTTAAATGTACAAATAATTAAGCCACAAAGCACAATGCAAGTTCAATAATTAATCACTGGAAATAATATGCCTTTTAAGAGAGGCAGAATCTGGCATCTAGTATTATTCCATAAAGTATGCTATATAATAAAAAGTTATCATAATTAAAATGCATAAATTCATTTCTACATTTATCTAAACAAAGTGCAACATAATTAAACCCACAGTTTAGGATTCCTTGTAGAGCACAAAAAAAGTGAGTACTTGCAGGGAATAGTTTCCTGCTCATTTCTTTAAGTATTAAAAATTTTAATATGAATATATATCTCTTTTCATTCCCTTCAATGATACCAAGCTTGATGATCTAATGTGAAAATAAACTGTGACTTCCTTTTAATTGATTTTAGGTTTGTCTGGTTAAGTCTTTCGTTTATTGAAATTGTTACCACCTTCTCACTTATCAGTTGGCACAAAGATGATTTACTCTGGGATTTGCTAGCTTCAGTCAGAAGACACCATAGTGTATGCCTTCCTCAAACCCAGAACCTAGCTCCATGGAAGTTAACTGACCTCATATTGTGACCCTCACACCAGCATCCACAAGCTGTAAGTCATAACCTATGAATAAGTATCATGGAAGTAAAGGCCACACCCAGTTTCCCTTAAAGAATTGGATATATAAAGTAGTAGGAACTTCCTATACCTTTCCTGATCTGGTTTTCAGTCTGCTAAGCAGCTGTCTCTCAAATCTAAAGGGAGGCAATCAGATTACCAGCATTCTCACTATTTCAAAAAAAAATGAAACTGATTTCCTTTCTTTAAAAACTGTCTATGGCCCCTATGCATTCATATCAAAAGAACGACAAGAAAAGTAAAAACTTTTACTTGAAAAAGATTTTACTCATATTTTCAAACAAAAATTTATACTGTTTTCAAAACATCCTTCAAAAACATTACCTGTAAGCCCTCAGCCACAGGCCCTTCTCACACCACTACTATAAAATAATCCCTGCAGTGTTGAATGGCAGTGGATTAATATCTGACCTCTGCTTCAACAAGTTGTTCCATGTGTAACTGCAGCATTTTGCCTTTCCTAGAAAATTTCTGCCACAACGTAGCCTAAGAAACACAAAACCTAAGAATGTTAAATGCGTAAGATCTCTGCATCAGAAGACTGCAGAGTAGATTCTGGATATACTTTTTAATTTTCTTCTCAGCAGGGGGAGCTAGCACTCTCATCTTGAAGGTCTAAGTCTACAATTAGGGAAATCTAAATTTTGATTCCAACTATCAAATTTCAGTACGTGTTAGATTATCCTACTGAAAATCTCCACAGAGGAAAAAAAAAGTTTGCCAAACATGAAAACTCACCTTTGTCTTGAAATTCCTGAAGATAGCTGCAAAATAAAGAACATTATGTTTTTTAATGAGGTTGAAAAATTAAAACAAGGTCTAATCAGTAACAATAATTAAAATCTAAAATCTATATTAAAAATATAATTTAGACATACATTTGAAAAAACTAATTCCTGTCCTGAAATAATTTCAAAATGCTTAAAAATTTTAAATAAAATAATTTTTAAAGATCTAAGTACAATAGTAAAATGAGGATATATCTTCAATACCTAATACATGTAAATGTATTTATTCATTTAAAGTAGTAACAATTAAAAGGATTCTCTTTCTTCAGTCTGAGGTATATTCTGTATATTAAAATCCTCAATCTACCTTTGTCTTATCATTTAAACCAAATATACCCTCAGATAATCAAAATAAACAGTTGAATTCTGCTAGAGTGCTCAGAAAAATACATAATCAAAGAATATTATGATAAGCATGTCTATGTTTAAAAACTATATAGTTGGAAATACATTTTTTGCCGTCTAAAAATACTTAATACCAATTAAATTAGAACATGAAAATTTTAATTCCATAATAATCCATTTTTTATTAAAATTTTGGGTTATTAAAATTGCTTCTATGTAAGAAATCAGTAACAAAAGGTAAGTGACTTACACAGAATTAACATCTTTTATCTTCTTAATAAGGGATTCTCTCTTTTCCTTTGCTTTCTTGGATAAATTTTCTCCTTTCAGTATGTCTGCTACAAATGTTTCAACATCTAAACAGTGCAATTTAAGAAACAGGATACAAATTATAAGAAATAAAGGTTTTTGTAAAGATAAATAGGACAATGATTGTTTCTACACCTAAGTGTTAATACCTATATAATTTGTTATAGTTATTTATCGATCCAAAGCATAACTATTGAAGTATGTTTCAAATACTAACTTGAACAAATGTGTTCACCACTTGGCTAATAAAATTTGTATGTTCCACTTATGCTTAGCACAGCAAATACTATTTGGATGTTTGGCATCATTAAACCAGGAAGAAGCATACAAGTTTTCATAAACTATGGTGTCCCTTTTAACAAATTCTCTTATATAAAAGCAAGCACCAAGCTTTTATGCATGTGTTACTATCATTTTCTAGTATTTTGTAAGTTCCTGTATGAACAAGTCATTCATAATAGTATGTCAATATAAGCTAATATCTCTGGCAAGGGTCTGTTTTCCCTAGTATAATCAATGTGCAGGTATAGCCAACGTGCAATGCTTCAAAGGCAAAAGTAAATCCACTTTTCTAGCCAAGATTCCCAAATCAATTCCTCCTCCTTCCTACCTACCCACTCCTTCTGACTACTCTCAAATAAAAAAGATAACCAGCTGTGTAGTTTTGTGAGCTCTTGTTTCTTGTCTTGGTATTACCACCTGAAATATGTCTTAAGGAAGAAGTACAAACAAATTCTTTCATTATATAAAAATATAGTAGCCAAGAAATAAGATTTCTATGTCTTCACATAACATTCCCTCAAGCTTTTTTTTTTTTTTCTAATTTTACTACAATTCTAAATTATGCTATTGTCTTGTTCTCTCTAGTGTAAAATTCTATCAAGTCTTTACAGGCTTAATTTTTATAATAGTTTCATTCTTATTATTCATTAAACACTGTGCAATTTTAGTTTTCTTTTCAGAATTTCACAGCTCATTCTGAAATATCTAATATGGATTTTATCATTTAAAATGTTTAAGTAGGAATGGCTATAAATCATTGATATCTCATATGGAAGGGATATATGTTTTACTTTCTTTTTCCTTAACTACTTTGTATGGCATCAAAATATAATAATATTACATATAAGTAATTCAGTGTAGTAAAATAAACAGTCTCTCAACTGTACTTACAATTAACTATTTAAAACCTAGTGTATGGGATAGAATGTTTGTAATTCTTGATTACAAAAGTATCTTGATCCAATGAGGAAAGCTGATTAAACTTTTATATATTTATAATAAATGTGAAAGGGTCATTTTTCACTAAGTCAATATGATAAGTAAAATAATTAAGAATACTGTAACAATTTTTAAAAATAGCTTATGGTTTGAGTCTATTAACAACTAATGTGTTAAAATTAAGTATCAAAATGAAAGTAAATGTCACAGCTTCTCTTTCCTTAAGTTATATTTTGAAGAGGGGATCATAGAGACATAATCAAGTACCAGTGCAAATTAGACACAGACTTCTAACGAGAGTTCAGAATAATGCAACTTAGGAAGAAGCATGCTGTTCTAAACGCTTTAAATTTTGTACCCAGAAGAGCAAGCAACCTTTGACATGTAGACATTAGCTGAAATAGAAAAGATCACTGGCTCCCCTGAGATCATAACAGTAACTTTTGCAAGAAAGTGGAATAAGGGAAGAAGCAACATCCTTACTGCTGATTCTTCTTCAGTAAGGAGAATCACTGGCACAATGACTGGGCAATAGTCTGCTTAATATTATTTTCACTCAATGTTTGCCTTTCATCAGTATTTAATTGCCTATTTTACATTTTCTCCAAGTTTAAACATACAGAATATTTTCTATCTCTGGATGTAATAACGAATTGCTCAAAGAGTTTTTTTCTTTAAAAGGTCATTTCAGTTTTATAAAAACTCAGGGGGAAAAAAGGGCTGCAATACTCTACATAGTGTTCTCTAACGCCCTCAAAAATGTTTTAAAAATACTGATCTATGTTACTGTTTTATGACAAAGTATTTGTTGAAAGAGTGTTGGGCTGTAGGAAGAATCGGTATTTTTCGAGAATGGCAGAAATTCAGAGATTGCGTATGGGCAAAAGTCTTTTTTTTTTTTTTTTTTTTGAGCAGCCTTTTTTTTTTTTTTTTTTTTTTTTTTTAAACATACTTATCCCTAAGCTTTTCCCAGAAAAGGTTTAGGACAACTACAATTATTTAATAAACAATGACTTTTTCGTGATTATTTCTCAAAAGTGATGTGGAGAGAGTAAAAACTGCTTTGCTTAAAAAACAATAATAAATAATAAACTTTAAACTGAAAGTGGCTCCCGAAATAATTTTAGTTTGCTGATCGTCCACTGACTTGGTTAGCTTTTAGGCTTTTGAAATCTAGGTTACTTCTTAAAATTTACACTTTACCCGTTTCTTTTCGAGTCGAACGAAACCACCCTCTTCCAGGAACAGGAGACTCCTGAACATTCCGGTGGCCTTCGGCCAGTGCCTGAGAAACACACCGATCCTGCTCCCGGAACGCAAAGACAGACCAAGCGACGCAAAGAAGTTGTAGGGCTGTGAGATGCTCCAGTTTGGCCCTTGAGTGTTAAACCCTAGGGTTCCTCTCAGGCTGAACTGTGAGCAGCGAGAGCCGGGTCTGGGGCAGCGCCCTCGCCAGACAAACGGGGCTGGATCTGTGGCTTTGTAGCTCAGAGCCCGGGTAATATTTCAAAAGCGAGCAATACGGTCTTGGGCGAATCAAGTGCTCCTCTGGCTGGTTGGATTAGAGATTTGAAGCTTTTTATCGTGCTCTAAATAGCCCTGCAAATGGTAAACTAGCAAGCACAGTAAACTAGCAAGCACGTTAGCCCTCTTCTACCTTCCTGTGGGGATCCTGTAGATATGTAGATTTTACCATTCCCTGCTGTCTGTAAATCAGGGAAACGCAGTAATTTGATTACCAGAAAAGCTTGCTCAACTCTTAGCCCAGTTTTTACAAATTCTTCCTCGGAGGGAGGGTCTCAATGCAGTCTCACGCATACTGGCCACGGGAGAGAAGCGTGGGAGGCCCACTCTGCACTCACGGTAAAGGGTCTAACTACCAGGTCTCACTACCCCCACCTACCCCCAACTCTGCCTCTGGGCCAGCAGCCACATAGATTGCAGGGTCTGCACTGCTTGCATTTAACCCCAGAATTGCCCCCATCTCCATCAGCCTCCACGCCTGCCCAAGTCATCAGCAGGAAAAAGCTATCCCGGTGAAAGCAAATGTGATGGGATTTTAGCTCACATTAGACCTTAACACTGTCAAGGGTAAACTTTATCTCCTGGTACAGCTGTAAGTATCTGGGGGAGAAGGCATCTGAAAAGACCAGATTTACAACTGTTCTGTCGATAAATGTTAAGATCTGAAAACAAAATTAAAAGATGACATATTCTGGCTCAGCAGTTTAAGTTAGAAATCTCTCCATAGCCATGGAGACCCGCAAGAGGCAAACACTTACACCAAGTCACTGAATCGTACTCTAATTTTCCTTTTTTCCCCCTTTTAACATATAGACTTCCTAAAAAACAGCCACACCACCTTTCCCTAGAGTCGAGAGTGGTTGGGACAAGTATCTAACACACACACTAATTGTTTTCTACCAACTTCTACACTATCCAGATCACACAGTGAAAAGGTGGAACTACACCAGGTCAGAACAGTTTAAAATTTTTTGCAAATGATAAAATAACTCTAAGCTTCTGGATGTAGTATTTAGCATAGGTTCTCACTCTTGAAAAGCAGTTTGACCACTTGTCCTCACCACCCCCCACTATCAAACAGCCTAGAATATGGCTTGCAGGCTGGAGGTTAAAAACGAGTCACAAAGGTAACACCTCCTCTTCCTGCCTAATCCTCCAACCATCCAATACCTCCTTGCACATGCATATACACACACTTATCCTCTGTGATGGCCTGAATTGTACGGGAGAGGGAGCAAGAATTGGACTGAATCTACCACCATATGCTCAGCCTCAGATTAATAAATGTAAAACCAATCACACAGCACCCCCAATGGCCTTACTAACTTAATTCTACATCTCTCTCAACATTTGTGAATTGGGCCAGATTTCTCTTTGCATTCATTGAGATGTGCTGCCACCAAACTTAATATGATAGGGATCCTACCCTAGAATGTAAGCTGCCGTCAGGAAAAAAATAAATAAATAAATAAATAAGACATGCTCTTCTATGTTAAAGCAAGGTATGGTTCTGACCAAACAGCTACTGGTAAAAATATAAAAATCAATTAAACTGGCACATGCAAATCAATGGAGCCGAATACCCAAAATTGGAAAATTGCTAATTGAAAAGTTATTGATTGTTTTAACTGATGTCCTTTCCTGATTACTTAGCACTTTTACAGGTTACAGATGAACTGTGGATTTTTCAAACACGGAAAAGGAGACATAAACAGGCATAAGAGCTCTCATAGAACAATGGGTAAAACGTACCAGAGTCTTACAATCCAATCACTGAACAAAATTTCCAAAATTGACTTTGAGAGGCTAAATGATTTATTTTTATAGAAAGCTGGGCTGATTAAAGGTAGGGCTGAACATCTTTCAACCTCTAAAAGGTGACTCTTGATAAATAGCACCTTACAATTATCAAAATCTTTTTACCACACATTTTCAAAGAAGCCACAGTGAATAACATATTAGTCTGAAACTTACACTATATTCACTTTTAGGCAGCATCTATTGTAATGTGTTCAGAATGTGATTGAAAAAGAAATGTAAACCCAGTGGAATGAAAAAGATAGAGTTAGCTTTAATTGAAAAAGACAAACTAAGTGAATAATGAGTATATAAAGTCTAGCCTATGCCACTTTTATCATCCATATATGACACTTAATCTGAAATTTATGAGAGACAACTAAACAGTGTTTCGAATCACCAGCAGCTTTTTCTACTCTGTTGTTTCTACCTTCTTTCTAGTAATATTTTAATGCTGGTAACAGGAGCAATAAGCTCATTTGTAAAGTTTTCATATAATGCTATTTTTAAAAATATGTTTGGATTCCCCTTTTTAAAGAAAACCAATGTTAATTTGGACTGGTTAGCTATAAAAACTGTGCATGGTATCAAGAGCCTTATATAGTAATCTAAGATAAAAATACTTTCAATGGACCACCATGCCAAAAGATCTCCTTCGAAGAAAAAGTAGGATATCATATACTTAAAATAGGCAAATAGTGTTCCTAACACCACATCTTAATTCATCTATATTATTTAACCCATACAAAAAAATCTCTATAAGCCTCTAGTCCCCTAATTTACATATATTCCTATTTCCAGAAAAGAATATCTTGGAGGTACAATAGATTTAATTTTGAGATTAAATGTTCTCATATCAACTTTATGCTCTTTAGTGACTGCTGCCAATATGGGGCAAGCTTTTCTTGCTCTGTAGGAAAATCCAGGTGCTAAAGAGGTAGGTGACTATTGGTGACTCAGTAGGTGGCACTCTTCCCTTTACATACACAGCCAATGTCCCAGAAGGAAGTTATGGGACAGTAGATACACCATAAACAATTATCATAGGAAAAATAAAATCAAAATGTTGACCAAATTATAAATGGAACCTTGGAAAGGTGAAAATCAAACCATACTATATTCAGCAGAAAAAATTCTGCCTCTATTTCAAATAAACTGCATTACTTACCCAGTGCCCCTATAGGAACTCTTTAGGAGACTAATCATACACTCTAAATAATACTGTGTGGAAAAAAATCCACATATTATAATCAATGTGTAAAGATAACCAATGTCCCTTAAATATATTGATTATCTTCATACCTAATGTGTGAAAAAAATTTGTTTTCATGTCCTGAAAATTCCCAGTAAGGAAAATGTGATATTTCTAATCAAGATTGCCACGTAAACAAAATCTCAAGATCACTTTGCAGAAACTATATAACCACTTTATTTATTGTTTGTTTGGTTTGGTTTGATTTTTCAGAGCACTGACAATCACTATTTTCTTTTAACAATGGTTTCATTTTCTAATTTAGTGAACAGAAAATAACAACTTCTTACAGCTTTCCTTTTAAAATTTGTTGTCCTAAAACAAATGAATGAGGACGAATGACAATATCTGGCTGTAAGCCACTAACAAACCATTATTTAAAGGATGATTAAACAAATGAAGGAGGCTGGAGGGAAGTGGTTCTAGTTCCTCTCACTTTCTTGCCTGCCTAGAGAAAAAAAAAAAAAAACTCACATAAATCAAGATTATTCTTGCTGTTAGTCCTAGTCAAAATATTTGGATGTGAGAGAACATTAAATGGACAAGATTTGGGATTGTCCTTTGATTTCAGTTATCCAGGCTAAACCTGTTCTTCCATTGCTATAGAAAAGAAAAAAAAAAAAAAAAAAAAATCAAAGGTTGCCTGTAAAGCCAATGGCAGCTCAAAATTTGCTTTTAACAACAAAATTCTGTAAGTCCTTTTCTATTCATATGACCAAAAGAATAATCAACAACATTTTATAAAAAGCATAGGTCTTCAAGACTAAATATACTAACTCCATAAAAAATTTAACTAGATAAAAAACTCCATAAAAATCAAACTAGATAACCACTTTTTCAAAGGTATCACTATATGTGAGTTAAGAATAATGACTTCTTTTTATTTTTTGACATTTCTATGGAATGTTTTTTATATGAGAAAGAAGAAGGGAGAGGGAGCAAATGTTGAAAGTATAGCCTAGACTGCCATAATCAGACAGAAAAATAAAGAGAAAGAAAAATAATAAATAAGAATACACTTCAGTACTTATCCCTTTTAAGAAGGTGAAATTTCAAACACATATGACATACAATGATTTAGATAATAGGCATGTGGACAGAAATGATACATCTAAGCAACTTTATTTTAACAGTCATTATCTTTGGATTTCCTATTCGTTTTTCTGAAAACAAAGGATTTAAAACTCCTGAAAAGTTTAGTTCCTTATCTTCTCTACCCTGAATTCCAGCATAGTACCATGCATTCCAAGAACACTCAACTGTTAACTACAACCAACACTATCAGTATCTCCTTAGTTTCAAAGAAATATATTAAATAAGCCAGCAGTATCTCTAATATTCAAACCAATATAAATACTTCTATAATTTTAGTTACTCTAAAAATCTACTCATATACTATTACCCAATACACTTGAGTTATGAAAAGAATCATGCACAATGCCAACAATATTTTTAGATGCAATATGTGAAATACTTGCTGACAGAATCTATTCTTGAAGCCTTCTCTACCTCAGAAAAAGATTTTAATTACAGTCAAACATAAAATGTTAACAACTTTTCAAATGTTTTTTTAAACCTGAAAAACACTGATTTGTTAAATTTCTTTAAATATAAATATGCCCCAACTCACTTCCATACTTCTTGAAAATATCCTCTGAATATAAAGTGTAATCCAAATTTATAATTCCAAAAGTTTTAACATTTGTTTTATTTCATGTGTTTTAATGTTTCATATGTGTTTTAATATGTGATTCGCTTTAATATATAATAATGAAAATGTCAATAAAATGACTTTAAAATAATTTCAGACATTATGCTAGTATATTACCTGAATAAAGAGAGATGGCAGAAACATATCGGACGTTAGCATTGGCAGATAAATTAAATATGTAATTTCGAGTTTTTAGTTAAACCACACAAATAAGGGCCACATGAAACACTTGTGATCTATGGGGATCAGAGAATAAAGAGTCTCACGACCTACAATTACAGATCCAAATAACAAACTGTACTATGGGAACTGCCAAGCTTTAAAACATGCACCTAGAGGTCTATATGTTATTTCTTAAATTCAAAAATATAGACATAGAATATCCTGAAAATGGTTTCATCTATTTTTTGAATAATGATAAACACTTTTCTGAA